AGTAGGTTCTCATATCTCAAAATATGTGATGTTAATTTGGTAAAATTTTTGCTTTATTTGATACCTGAAGAATGAGGCCTTGTGTAGTCTGAGGTATGTCAAAAACAGTGAGAAAACATTTACTAGTATTTGAATGTATGTTTTCTTGTTTGGAAAGAAAATGTTTCGAAACTTCCCCAGACCTTTCAATCTCACTCGAGATATTTGCTATAAATTAATCATAAGTGGTGACATTCTCTTCCAGTCAATTTTGCAAGTAAAATGTAGTCCTGGAACTCTTAAAAGCATCTATAATCTCTTACATGAGAAATACTTAATTATAGCTATTATTTTTTTCTGCAAAACATGCTCATTTGGAGTTTTTCCTGATCCACTCTGAATATGTAGGTCTAAAAGAGATTTCTGAAGAACTGAGTTAGTGGTTAACTAGAAAACAAAGGGATCTCTTTCTCTAGTTAAAACTTCTTTTAATTAGTTGTCAGTCTGCCTTTTTATGAATGTTTGAGGGCAAGGACACACTCATCATCTGAACAAAAGCATTTTGTCAGTTGTATGAGAATTCATAGCATTTGAAACTTTTCCATATTTGCAATATAACCTGTTTGTCACAGGGGAGAAAAAGACTCAACTAGAAATTGAAGCTTCAAACATTGACAATTATAAATCTTTTATTGCTTTTGAGCAAAACAGTTACTAATTTCTGCTTAATAGGAAATCTGCTTCAGATGAGAAAGTTACAGACACTTTCATCCTCAAAGAAAGATGTCAAAAAAGAGAATATGAAAAGAAAAAAGAATCCTGAAAACCTTTTTTTCCCCCTTTCATTTAGCATAGCTCTCCTTCTACCTCTATTGCTGACCAAGGGGATCCAGATTCCCTTTGAATCTGATTTGAATATCAGAGGCTCTAAGGGGTTTGGAGTGGAAACCATGGAATATGTTTTTTTGTTGAGTGGAGCAATTAGTTACAATCTACTTACAATGGCTTTTTATCCTTAATTCAGTCAGGGGTTGGTAGAAGCTCCTTCTAAAATGCATTTCTTTTCCGCAGCTGCTTGTCAGAGACAAGACCTTTGGACATTAAAGGCATATTAAGCACTTAGCAGGACATGAAAGAGACTTGGTGAAATTAGGGGGCAAATCATGCTCCTGGTTATGAAAGTGAAGTGGGGAAAGACACTGGGGAAAGACAGTCTGAAAAAGACACTCACACTATTTTGGATTAAACTCATCTCATTTGGCAAGCTAAATTTTGTACTCTGTACTGTTCATTGTGAATAGCATTGGTTAAAACCTTGAGGGAAACTTTCCAATAAATTTAGCAATTTTAAATCAAGCACTTTGTTCACTTCCACTTCAAACCCAAGACTTTTGGTTGAAATGAGGAGCAAACTTGTTCTAGGAACAAGTAGTAGAAACCACTTGGTAGAAACAGAGGAAGTGATCAACTGGAAGTGATCAATTCCACAGGACTGAAGTTGTGAAGAGTAAAGTAACCAGGGTACTGAGGCTGCCTTTATGACTGCAGTGTGTGTGTCCTGTTCACATCCCATCTAGGCAAAGCAACTCTGGGGCAGGAAAAAGGCAGAAGAGCATGGTGTGATGTGGCTGATTCCCTGAGGTTTCTCAGTGAGCAAGACAGTCATAGCCATACTTTATGCTGGCCTCTGGAGCAGAAGGGAGAACTCTGAATTGACAACCATTTCAGAGAGCTACTGCAGTGGGGCCAGGCATTCCTGCCCTGCACATGGAGAAGAGCTGCATGTTACGCAGAGATATGCGCTGTCATTCCTGTGCCCATGTGCTCCCTTTCCAAGCACTGTGCCCCAAATTAAGTTTTCCTTGTCATTTACCTAGCAACAAAATTTTTCTTTTTTGTTTTAGTAATTATTATTTAAAGAAAGAGATAACATTTTTCTGACACAAGCCCCTTGGGAATGACATCAACCATATGAAATATAAATACGTCTCCTCTCCTGTTGTATAAATAATGGATTAAGTTTTCACTGGAGAAGCTGAAAGTAGGATGGAAGGACAATTTGTGTAACTCACAAAGTAGGCTGTGGTGTACAGCAGCAGACTGTTACAAAACATGACACAGTAGGAAATGTGATTACTGTGTTATGGAAACCCCTTGGTGGATCAGGTCGCTAAAGTACATCTCCTGTGCTGAGAGCACCATGGTTTGTATTATGTGCAGTGAGCATCTGGACAGAAATAAACTCCTCCCGTTGGTTTATCCAGTAATGTGTGAGAGTTTTTAAAAAGTATTACTAATACTACAATGCCTTTTATGTTGTTTATGAAAGAAAAGCCTTTGACAGTTTCGAGGACGAAAAGCAAGAATTTAAGTGTAGAACTGAGGTAGCATCCCTCCCTCAAGGAAGACATAACTGATTTAGGGAGGAGAATTTTCAGAGCTGAACATGAACTTAGTATCCTCTTACCAATTAGCAGCAGATGAGAAGCATGCTCCAGAGCAACTGTCTCTGTAATAGCTGTGAGATGCTCAGAGAATGCCTGTTTATTTTATGAAGCGAGCCAAGCAAAGCTGCCTGCTTGGCATGTGCTTCACTGCAATGGTGTTTTGTCACTATTACAAGTCATCTCTTGTGGAGCAAGTGCATACAAAAAAGGAAAGGAAAAAAAAAAGGAGGGAGAAAGCAATCTCCAAATCCCATAGCATTAGTTTTCTAAGTATGACATATCCAGATTCCTGATTCTGAATTCCATTGAGACCTCCCAGGAATTACACCCTGGAACTATTCAAGCATCTGTTGATGCATAAAAAGTCATGTTTATGAAAACAGCTTGGATCTGTTTGTCCCTTTTTGGTTGGTGATGAGCTAGTTTTCTTTAGAAAACTCAGGAGTCTTTACCCGTTGGTGCATGAAGGGACAGAGCAAAATCAGTGGAGTTGAAATTTCCTGAATTATAATTAACAGTAATTTTGGCCCTGATATTGATTTAGGGAAGCATACTAGGTTGGTCTAAAGTTTCTGTGACTTTTTTCCATTTGCCTAATTCAGATTTTTTTTCATTATATTAGTGCAGGGAAAATTTAAAAATTTTAAAATACACAACCTGTATTTGATATTTCCTGTAATTGTGTTCTTTTTGTTTAGTTTGACAAGGTTTATTAGTCAACATCTGGTGAAAATAATAATATCAACTTTCATTTATCTAACTGAACTCTATCAATATTGCATTTGTTATTTATATAATGATTATCTGAAGGTCGATATTAGGGCAAATTACCTAGGAGTATAATATATTTTCAACGTGATTTATTTTTATTTTAATGAATCATACAATCACAAAATGGCCTGAGTTGGAAGGGACCAGGATCAAGATCATCTAGATCCAGCCATCTCTGTTGTGGACAGGGCTTTTTACCATCTCTGTCTTTTACTAGACCAGGTTGCTCAGACCCCTATCCAAGCTGGCCTTCAACACCTTCAGGGACAGGGCACACGCCAGTTCTCTGAGGAAGTTGTTCCAAGTTAAGGGAGGGACAGCTTTGTGTTGTGTGTACTGCAAGGAAAAAGTAGTTTTGGCAACAGAGCTCTGGTGTTTCTTGCCTACATGGGAGCAGAACCAAAAATTAGGATAATAGGTTTCATAAAGAAAATCTGCATGTTAAACTGGCATGCTCAGAGTATTTAAATACATTGTGAAAAAGCACCAAACTATTTTAAAAGTAAAATTCGTCTATTATCTCATTCACAGGAAAATTGGATTTTCATTTAGGGATTTGCGTCTTTATGACGCGTCTCTTGAAAAATATAAGACACTAATATATTTCTCAATTACATGCTTAAATATTTTGCTTTTTATTTCTGTGGGGGTTTTTTCTTAAAAAAAAAAAAAAAAAGGTAATTTCTTTTTTAAAAACGCTTTTGTCTAATTTCTCCATGGAAAATAAGCCTTTTTCTGACAAGGTCTCCCTCTGACCTCCTTTGAAGAGCATGCTGTTTCCATGAAACAATGTTAAAAATGCTGGACTATTACTTCTGTTACTGCTGCTGCTCCACAAAACATGAGAGAACCTTTGGAGGAGAAAAACTTTTGAATTATAGCCTTTAAGCTCGTGAAACTTGTCTGTAGGGTTCTACCTATGCGACCTTGGCCAAATCTTTAAAATACTCATCCTGGGAGATGCATTTGAGGGCATTCTGGGCATGCTGGGCCTGTGCTCTTTGTACTTCAGTTTCTCTGTTCTGGTGGACCAGCAGCAAATGAGCCAACCCTGGCATTTTGGGATGCTCTTTTACACACAAGCCAGTGAAGACAAGCTGATTTCCACTTCCAAATGGACAGAGCTGTGAACTGTTTTTCTAAGCTTTGTTTGCAATACTGAAA